TTTACTTCACGTATACGTTTATATAAAATATTGGTGAGTAGATCCGCGTGATCTCTCTTTGGATTATAAAATATATATTTGGATTATATATATATGAAATTTGTAAAAATTTGATACTGTTGTTTGAACTTATTTAAGGTTCTGACGACAAGATCCTTTGACCTTTATTCAGATACCTTATTTTTATATTTGTGAAAGTTTATTATTATTATTATCATTATTTTTATTTTATTTTTTTTGGCAATATATAGTTGTAATACGACCAACAAATGTAAAAATAAAAAAAAATAAAAAAAAAAATAAAAAAAAAGCACAACCTCGTTTTGAATTTTCAATGGGGGGATGTAATAATTCAGGCGGATGTAATAATAACATATATCATGTTGATGTTTACAAATTGTAAAAAATATCAATAAATAAAACTCTCCGATGCTGGTTTTTTGACAAAAGTCATACACTTAAACAACGCAATGGGTAGCTTTTATGTATTATAAAGATGTAAAAAAGTAAAAAAGCTTCAAAAATAACTGAATTAATTAGGATATATTTGATGTAGAAAGTAATAAAACAATGTAAAATAGTTTTACAGTTTATATTTTGAAAGCAACCTTAAATTATATATTATAAATCATTGTTCAGTTAAGTACAGCATAACAAATCACATCACAAACCAATACATAAAATCATAAAATAATTTATTATTTTTTATTTATAGAATAATTTATTTTTTATATTCACTTTATACCAGTAAACTTTACTACTAAAACTCATCTTTTCTCGATCATCTATGTCTCATTCATCTATGTCTCATTCATCACATCTAAAACTCTTTATGTCTTTTTATTTTGGAGAAATGTAATTACTGTTCGTAAAATGTTACGCTCATTGTGGGTTATTATTATTGCTATTGGTATGATTATATATAATATAAATATCAACATTATTTTACTACTATTCATATCACTATTACTTATTGTTACTGTTTAATATTAAATTTGATATTTATCAATCATATTATCACTATTATTATTATCATTATTATAATAATATAAATATAATTGTTAACATTGCTTACCTCGTTATAATTGTTTTAATAATGTTATTGCTATTACTATATAATTGGTTTTTACTTAAGATTAGTATTAGTATTATTTCTAAATATCTATGTGTATGTTGCATACATACACATGTATGACATATATGTGTGTGTTTTCTTTTAAGCAATTGCAAGTTTCCAAATACATGCAAAGTAAAATAAGTAAAGAAAACAATACTTTTCAATCAGTAAATTTAGTATTATTAAGTAGATTAATAAGTTGCAACCTATTCTTTTTTGGCGATAATTTCTTTCCGATGCCGAAATTAATGAGCTTCATTAATATTTTAATGTGCCACTATTTGTAAAATTCCATAAAACTATTGGGTTGCTAAGTGAAGAGGAGGGAGAGTGTTTGCATAATAGCGTAAATAAGGAATTAAGTCAGTTGCATTCAGTAAGAAATCAGGAGCAGAAGCTGCATCTTGTTTTAAAACGCTTTGAATTGCGCAGCAAAGCTGATAGGAAGCTTCAAGCCTCTAAGGTGAAAAAGTGTGTTGTGTGTTCTGAGCGTGGCGAAAATTCATTTTGTAGACAAGGACTTAGTCTTGTTTGTGGTCATCAAATTTAGTTAAAATATTAAAAAAATTCAAAACAACAACAAAAAAAAAAACTATTTACAAGTAAAATAAATTATATGAGATCTTTTATTTATATATAAGATAATTTAATTCTGTTCTAATATCTGTGTAATGTTAGTTTAAAATATTATTTTTTAATATATTGATTTTATATATTAGGTAGGTGCCCATTCTGTTCCTATCTTTAGAAGTTATTTATACCTATACAATACCTTCGCTTAGGTTAAAGAATGGAATACTAGTCTTGCATCAAATGTATGTAAAAATCTAGCTTTTATATATTAACTTGTGATCAGAGCAACTGGTATGTTGGTTGGGTATGATCTTGTATGTTTGTGTATTTAATTTAAAAAATGTATTGTCCTTCATCATATGTAACATTTTTTTTATAGATATATTACATATCCATTCGATGTTTATCACCAGAAGTTAGTTCTACCTTTGCAGTACCTCTGCTCTACATACCTCCTCGCTGGTTAAAGAATGGAATATAAATCTCATATCAAGTTAATGTAAAAATTTAGTTCAATAAATTAAGAATTTGTAAACGTTATCGAAGTTTTTAGTGGAGCAATTGTTTTTCTGGTTTAGCATAAGTATGAATCTGATATCAATTGGATGTAAAAAAATAGTTTACTACTTAAAGAACCTATCAGTAAACCAACTGATTATAAAACAGTTTTTAATGGGAATAAAAACAAATTTTCAAAAGATTTCAATTAGCTATTTGTATATTCAAACACTTTATTTACTGAGAGAAGAGACTATAGATTCAAGTGCTATAAAATAATTCTACTACCAAAAGCGAGGTTAATTCAAAAACTTAAACTCAAATTTGGTCATGAATTATTTTATTAGACTTGGTGAGTCTTTATTGATTAACAACTTAACACCATATTATTAGAACTGTATGCACAGAAAAAAATAAATGCTTAAGCTTTAAATGTTTTAACTAAATATTCCAAAATCGAAATTCCACAAAGATTGGACTTATGAGTTAATTTGCTAAGAGGGCGTGTTCTAATTTTAAGTTGGTGAATTATACATGTTAGAAATCACGTAGATACGTGTTAGAAGTCACGCGATATTTCAATTGTATTCTCATGAGACTTTTTTTTATTTTGTATAAATAGAGAAGATTTTTGTCTAGAGTTAGTGAGGTTAGAAGAAAGCTATAAAATAAAAGGTTTTGTTTATTCAATTAATAGAAAGATCCAACGCTAATTCATAGCGACGAGATAACACAAACAGTGAAAATTCATACAGCGACTAAAGTTTTTCATAGATTGATACCCTTTACCTGTTTCTATAAACCCAATTATCATTCTTGTGTTTGCTTCAAATGTTTTTCTACCCTGGGCTGTAATTCCATTAAACTTACTAATCTGCTTAGAGAATACAAAACCTTATTCCATTCACATAAACTACACTTGATTTTAAGGTGATGGGCAAAACCCATGCGCTTAGAAAGATTATCAACAATGGTAACAAGGCTGTAACAGTCTGGACATCTAACATCTTCCACAATATCACTTAAAATTGAAAAATTGATAAGTATGAAATAATCTTTATTCACCTTGTCATTTACAACTTGTTTTTTATTTATCAGTGGAAGTAATTTTCTTGCACTTGCACAACTTGAAGCTGGAACAATATTCAGATTGCTTTTCTGTTGTCTTTCTGCTGTCATTGTATAACGATTTCCATGAAAAAATCTTTTCTTTTTTCGTACAAAATTTTGCTTATTAGATATACTTTTTTTTCTTCTTGAAGTACTCATTATTTATAATACTTGAGGTGAAATCTGAAAAGGTTTATAACATCAAAATTAAACAGCACGCACTAAAGTTGCTTCAAAAAATTGCCAAAATTTACAATGTTCCTTAAGTTAATGACCTTTAACAACTGCACGTTTATCAGTGTTAGATAGAAATCTTGTTGTTCTTTAAAGAAAGGTATCAGGGTAAAAAAACTGTTTAGTGTTGCTAATGACGTAACTAAGGACTAATCGTTGTATGTAGTTAGATAAAAACCTTAAAAACTAAATGAGTAATAATTAAAAAAAAAACTTTTTTCAGTACATGAAAGCTAAGTAATTTTCCTTCAAAAATAAAAAATTAAAAAAAAAACGATTTTTATAAAATTTTGACATATTATTTTTAGTTCTACCACCTTAATAGGGTTAAGATCTTTTTATCGTTAATAGACACTTTTCTTAATAATTTTTCAAGTTATTTTTAGCACAGAAACTTGCTAATTAAAATGTGTAAAATTGTAACAATCAAAAATTTGTTTAACACTAGCAAGTTTCTGTATATTTGAATAGAAAGTTTCTTTCGACGCCAAAATAAAATCTGTTGCAAGAAGCAAATTAAAAACGCAACTTATTAAAGTAAAGATTCTTTTTTAAAAAAACTTTTTTTTGTGGTTTTATCAGGTGCATTTAATAATTTATTTCTTGTTTATAAAATAAATTAGATGACGCAAGTTTTCTTGAATTTTAAAGTGTAAAATATTAAGTGTAAAGTTATATTAAGTGTAGGGGAAAGAGGGGCAACATGGCGAATGTTTTGAAAGCCCTAAGTTATTGCAAAACTATCAGTCGTGAAGCAATAATACTTTCTCAGTATGTTTATATTATTAAATGATTCATTACCTGCATAAGTTTTCAGTTTGCCAATAGAACAATTTGCAATAAATATTAAAATAAAAAGTTCATAAATTTGTCATCTGGTCACGTGACCGGGGCAAGATGACTTATTATGCAATTTTTGCCTACAATTTTATAAATTATTAATAAAAACTACTAATAACTCTAACTAAACCAACACAAAATTAACACAAATCGCAAAAAAGTACTTCTAAAGAAGTTAAACTTGAAAGACACCATCCATTATGAGAAACCGAAACTGAGGAATTTTTTTTTAAGCGCAAAAAGTAAACTTATGCATACAAAATTGCGTTAATAATATTTAAAAAAAATAAATCGGTGTTTTAAAATACAAGATGCAAATACACTTTCGTTTTTACTCAATTTTAAGATTTTTTGTTGAGTTCTTATACGAAAACCCATCTTACCACATTCGCCATGTTGTCCTATAATTATTTAAAATGGTAGATAAACCAATTATCTAACAATTATCACATTAAAAACTCATACCTCATAAAAAGTCAAATTTGGTAACAATAATATTTTTGATTATTTTTTTAGTTTAAAATAAAATAAAGGATAATTTGAATCTAATAATTAAAACCAATCTAATTAAATAAAACGCTAGGATGAGAAAGTCACCACGAATAACCAAATTAATAAAGGTTAAAAATAATTTATTTGATAATATTTACACAAAATTTAGGAGCTAAAAATATTTACTGATAAAAAAATGTTGTTCCATAAATGTCAACGAAATAAGGAACCGTCGAACAGCACTTACACGGAAATACGAGCGACGTTTCCAAAATATTGTTTTTTGGTTTAACATTTGGTGAAAAGGACTTTACTTTTGACGTCTTTACAACTAATACCGGCTCCCCAATACTCTTCGGTGCCTAATTTCACACAAAAAATGATGAATAACATTAAAATATAATGAGAAAATTCAAATAAAAAGCTTAAACTAAAAATTAAACCTGTTTTCTTATTGCAGGACCAATGTTAAGTTTTTTTCCGTTAAGATATAAAGGGCATGCATTTAAAACCAATTTCACTTGTTTTTCATTGATAAATGAGACAAAACCGCAACCTAAAAAAGTCAAGCACGGTATATTTCATGAAACGAACAAATATAAATCAATAAAAATATAGAATAATGTAATTACTTATAAAATTACCTTTTGAATTTCCGTTTTCATCTAAGACTATATTCGCATCTAAAACTTTACCGAACTCACTGAAGTATTTTGTTAAATCTGCAGCACTTGTCTAAAAAAAAGTCGCCAAACAACTTAGTCGTATTTTTTTTCTTGTATATATATATATATATATATATATATATATATATATATTATATATATATATATATATATATATATATATATATATATACATATCAGGGGTGGATCCAGCATTTTTTGGTGTTTAAGATAGCTAACTTCCAGACATGTAGCTAACTCCAAACATTTACATGTTTATACTTATGTCAAGTAAGGATGGTTTGCAAAAAATTGCGATGATTGGAGCCTGGGAACAAAAAAACCCCTAAAATTTGAGACGTACCTGCCCCAAACGTGAGAGCAACAAGTTGATAAAACATTTTTTGTACTATTCTCAACAAGACTTATATTTATCAATAAATTTTAAATTTCATAGTAAAATATTTTAGCGCTCAAAAATTATGACCATATAAAAATTGTGACCCCCTCGAATTGAGGGGGATTCAAACTTTACATGGTCATAATTTTTGAACGCTGAAATATTTTACAATGAAATTTAAAATTTATGGATAAATATAAGTCTTGTTGAGAATAGTACAAAAAATATTTTATCAACTTGTTGCTCTCACGTTTGGGGCAGGTACGTCTCAAATTTTAGGGCTTTTTTGTTCCCAGGCTCCAATCATCGCAATTTTTTGCAAACCATTCTTATTTGATATAAGTATAAACATATAAATGTTTGGAGTTTGCTCCATGTCTGGAAGTTAGCTATCTCAAACACCAAAAAAAGCTGGATCCGCCCCTGCATATATATATATATATATATATATATATATATATATATATATATATATATATATATATATATATATATATATATATATATATATATGTACAAGAAAATATATATATATATATATATATATATATATATGTATATATATATATGTATATATATATATATATATATATATATATATATATATATATATATATATATTTATTATTTATATATATTATATATATTTATTATTATAAATGTATTATTATTATTATTTATTATAATATTAATTATTATTATAAATATATTTATATAATATTAATTATTATTATAAATATATTTATTATTATAAATATTTATTATTATATATATTATATATATTTATTATTATAAATGAAATATTAGTGAGTAGTTAAGATTTTAGTCAAAAATAATTGTTTAAAAAAAAAAAAAAAAATTATTTAAAACATTAAAAATTACCGTTTTTAACAAGGCACCGACAAAAACTTTGTTTCGGTATCTTTTTCCAATTATATATACACTTCTGTCCTGCACGTAAAAAAGGTTAGCAAATATATGCTTAGTTTAGCGTTAATGGCCACGGAGTTTATTTATTATTTATATTGCATTCTGCATTTTGAATCATTCGTAACATAAATTTAATATGTATTCATAATAACAAAATAAACAAAATATAAAATAAGTATAAAACCTACCATCTTAAAGATAATTATTTTTTTCCGAAAAAGTCCTGTTCGCTTTTTTTCTGCAACTACTAATAAGATTTTAATGAGCACATTCGTATTAAAAAGATGGTCTTCCTCTTAGTGTTTATTTTTTTTCTTTATTACTACGCACTCAATAAGTTGATATAAAACATCCACGCAAGAGAGTAGAACAAAGTATACTCGTAGACTTTTATTTCACCTTTTTTTTAGGTAATGATACGAAGTAATAGAAAAATTATTTCGTTATCATTTATTATTTTATATTCCTCTCTGAAAAAATTTCATAAAAATAAATAAATATTATAAATATTTAAATGAAATTTTTTTTTGCAAGGTCTTTTTATAATCTTGAAATTTAGAATTAGTAAAAACCTGTTATTCTCCCAATTTTCGAATCAGGCTTCAATAAAAACATTCGAATATTTTAATTAAAATTTTTTCTTTAAAGTTGCGCTTTAGATATTTCAGTTTATAAACGTATAAAATATGTTCGAATATAAAATGTGTAGCGTCAAAAAACGTTCGAATATAAACTGTGTAGTGTCAAAAAAAAATAGCTTGAAAACATGTAGCCGTCATGACAGGTTCAAATGCATGCTGTTTTTTTTTTTTTTGTTTGTTGTTGTTTTTTATATTTGAAAAATAATTTAGTTTTGTAAAACGTTGCTATTAACAGTTTCAAGTTTTTCAAATCTTCATGGTAACGCTATAAAAAATAATAGGCTGGGTAAACAAAAATGAGTAAATGCTTTACTCACTAATTGGTCAGCTTTACGTGAAACTTTAACAATTTTGCCAATTTTTTTTTTCATGTTATGCTGAGCAATTTCTGAGTAAATTGCTTTAATTTACGTGAATAAACAAGGATTAGTAAATTTATCAAATTAGCAGCAAGACCTAAATCGAGAATTTTCAAACGTAAATTTGCACACTCCGAAAGTTACACTTCATAAGAAGGTTTATCTTCAAGTGGCCACGCGAAGATAAACCTTTTTATGAAAAACCCAACATGGGTTTAAACTTGCTGTTCGTTCTTGCAGTAACAGAGTTTACTCTGTTACTGCAAGAAAATAAATGAAGAAGATAAAATGAAGAAGAAAATAAATGCCAAACTCATATCAGAGTTTGGCATTTATTTTCTTATACTCTCTTATATAAAAAACTTTATCTGACAATATTAATACTGTAATTTTGTTAATAGTAGAAGTCGACTTACGTCATTGTAAAGTAGTTTCTAGGCTTTTCTATACGCGGTTCTATATTCCATGCGGTCTTAGGAGCAAATTAGAGTTGATTAAATTTTTAGAAGAATTGCGGTTGTTTATTATTTAAAAACTAAAATAAAAGTTTAAATAATCGTTTGTTTGTTGTTGGTTGTATTTATTTTTTTAATATTTATAGCCTGTTTTTTAGTCTTTTTAGAACATTTAAGCTTTACTTGCATAAAAGTATTTAACAATACTTTTAAGAAAAGATAAAATTTTAAACCACTTTTTGAACCTTTGAACGATAAAAATTCAGATTTTTTGAATTTAAATTACAGAAAAATTTAAACCGAGAATTCTTAATTTTGACAATCTATAACTTCGGTTATAAATGAGATAAAGTAAAATAAATTTGAATTCATTATTTTTTATGAAAAGTATAATCTGCTTGTGTTAAAAAAAAATAAATGTATTGGGAGTATTTGAGGTATATTACGATCTTGCTCGGTCGGTTTGTATTAAATTGCTCGGTCGGTTTGTATTAAATTGACGTAAATGAAATTATAAAATATCTTTAATTTGGACATGATTATAGATTAAATGAGCTAGAACTTTTATAAAGTGCTTACAACTGATAGTTTTATAAGAAACGTTATTTTCACTCAAAGTTGCTGAATTATTAAGTAAAAGTACTCAAAAAATGAGTTGTAGCTCTTTTTTTTCTAACGTTTAATTGTCTTTGCAATAGTTAAGATATTTTCAGCACCAAGCAAGATCTAAATTCAAAAAATAGCGTCGAAGAACATGAGATTTCACAAGAACATGATTTCACACGTTTGGAAAATATAGCTAATGCTAATACTTTAAGTATACCGTAATTTTAACTTCAATCACGCGAAAAATGAATCGAGTGTTAAACATTTTTTATAAAGCTTTTATATACTTAAACTATCTAGAGAAATTTACAATGATATCGATAAAACATCCTCAAACTTGTGGATTTGCAAAAATAGCTGCATATAATGCTTTAAACATAAATATAGATAAAGGATTTGATGAAAGTCTAAAAGTATATACTTCAAGAAAATATAAGTATCAGTTTCAAAACCAATTTCAAATTAAAAACGACAATAAGTATGTAGTACCATATGGTTTTTTTGTTTCAAAATACAAATAAATTATTAAGAACCTGCACTTTTTGGGAAAAAATGTTCATCAACAATGTAGTGAAGTAATTTTAATATAATTCTAAGCCAACATAGAAGGCTTTATTCTTCATATAAAAATATGTAAACTAAAATATACAAACAGGTTAGTTTTAATATACACATAATTAACATAATTAAACTAAACAAGGATAATAGTAGTTATTAGAACCAGCATACTAAATAAACAAAATAAGTATATATGTTCAAATAGTTCAAATATAGTCATTTAAATATTTAGGAGGATTCCGCGATCTTCCTGAACAACGAGGAACTGATTCTTCAATAGAAATTCCATTAGGATTTGTTGGAGAGTAGAAAAGTTTTGATTACAAGATATTTGATTGCTATAAGATATCTCGCAGCTATTGGTGCGAGGTATCTTGTAGCAACAGTGGTCTCACGTCCATCACGCATTTTTACATTAGAATATATACAATTAGCCTCTAAAAACTCAATCTCGTCAACCATAGGTTCATTTTTGCTGCGTCGAACATGCCTTTTAAGCAATACAGGTACCAAATTAGGTTCACTAATAGTTATAATATAGGAACAGAGAGTCCATTAGAAGAACGTCGACTGAATTCGAATAATCGTTTGTGAGGAATAGCGTTAGTAGTAAGGAACGCATTAAATGAAAAATATGTTCCCAGTTCATGGTAGGTAAATTCTTTGATTAGAGAGCAAGCAAAATTTCTTTCCAAACTTTGCCTTTGTATCTTTCACACTGACCATTACCCAGAGGATTATAAGGAGTAGTTCTACTCAAGTTGACGCCTCGAGAATTACGAAAATTCCGGAGCTCTATAGACAAGGAGCAAGTGCCTCGATCTGAATGTATATAAGCTGGCATACTAAATAAAGTGAAAAATTGAGTTGAAAATTTAATTACGATTGAAGTAGAAAATGAAAAAGAAATACAAAGGGAAATCTTGAAAACTCATCAACAACTGTTAAAAAATATTTGTTTCTAGATGAAGACGGAATATCAGGTGGAAAAATCAGGTCAACTTTAAATTGAGACTTCTCTAAAATCACAAATGTCTCTGTTTCTTTTTATTTTGTTAGTTAAACATTACTTCCTTATTTTTAACTATGTTAATAAACTTTTGTTTACAAATCAATGGTTTTCAAAATGTTTCGGTAACAAATTGGTGTGCGTAAATAAGTTGTGATTTTATTTTACAAAAGTCCATCGACTTAATAACGCTTGATTGCTAAACGTACATGTGACAAAATCTACAGTCATAGATGTTATAAATAAGTTCAAGAGTACTCAAAGCTTAGGAATAAAACCTGGAAAAGTCCAAAAAGTTAAAGTTGATTTTACGTCCAATAGCGAGAAATCTTGCAAGAAAACTCAAGATTTCGCGTTCTTACATCAAAAATGTGCTTGAGAAATGCTGGAACTATAGTTTTTCATATGAAAAATGCACCTAAGAGTAGCTTAAATGGTGAAATTAAAGGAATTCAACACGCGAATAAGTTGGTTAAAACAATTGTGGAAAAAAGTATGAGCATAATTAAAGACGAAACATATTGCAAGGCGGATTTTTGACAACTTTCTGGTCAACAATTTTACTATGAGAACAAAGATAAATCTGATAATAACACTAGAAGCCCCAGGTTTTATATATACCTAGAAACCCCAAAGTGGATCAATTGATCAAGCCTAATTTTTATACGCAATTAGTTTTTTGTTTAAATGTATAAAAATAACAGTTAAAACTGTTAATTTTGATGTAAATTATATTAAAAATATAAATTCTTTCACCTTACATATATATATATATATATATATATATATATATATATATATATATATATATATATATATATATATATATATATATATATATATATATATTATATATATATGCATATATATATATATTTATATATATTATATATATATATATATATATATATATATATATATATATATATATATATATATATATATATATATATATATATATATATATATATATATATATATATATATATATATATATATATATATATAGGTTTTATGCCCAAATTACGACGCTTTTTACCCTAACAGTAAGATAGATGCTTTTATATAGACTATGCCGCGTTTTCGATTTGAAGACATTTTGAAAAACATTATATTTGATATACGTTCAGGACGTAGAGAGCTCCTCCAAAGTGATAAATTTGCTCTTATGTCATGGGTGCTGACAAGATTGTCAAAAATGTTAAGCTCGGTGTCTCTTTACACAGTATATGCCCAATAAACCTTACAATCGGAATCAAATTATGAATTTAAGCTGATCTAAAGACCAAATATTGTCTCAATCTCAAACCGTATCTAGGTAAATAATATATATAAAACCGAGTAGAAAATTTGGTTACTTATGTGATCATGTCACTAATGGAACCATATTTAGGTTGCAGGTATAATGTTACTACAGATAACTTTTTTACAAGTGTCGATATTGCAACAAAACTTTTGCAAAAGAAAATGTCAAATGTTGGAACAGTTAAAAATAATAGAAAAGAAATTCCAGTATTTGATCCACTTCCACTTTACAATACAACTTTCTACATAGACCATTGAACTTAATTGTCTACCAGGCAAAGAAGAAGAAAACTGTTATTTTATTATCAACAAATCATAATGGGGCGACTAAGTAAAGTGATGGGAAGAAAAAACTAAAGCGAATACTTTATTACAATGCAAATAATTGTGGAATTGATATGTTAGATTCAACGTTTCGAAAAGTGTAAACATAATCTGGGTCCAAACGCTA